AATGACTGGTGACATTTGTCGCTTGAACTTCAAATGTCTTTTTATTTGCTTTTCCATTTAAAGTCTATAATATCAGTTTAGGCTGAGTATTATAGCACTATTTCTGACATACTATGCTGATATTACTGAGCAAGGTACATAATAACAGTCATAGTGCATATCGTCTGATCCAAATCCAAGAGTTTTGACTCGCAACTTGTCATTATAACGGATAAGTCATGATGACTTAAACCTGTTTCCGTACAAAGTTCAAATAATAAGCCGGCTAAATCCTCTAGATTTGCCTATTCGCCTGGAATTTTGTCAAAAATTATTGAAATGGCCGTAGAAGACAATAACTTGATTAATTGCCTGTTTATGTCTGACGAGGCTCATTTTGATCTAAACTGAAATGTAAACAAGCAAAATATGGAGTAAATCAAAACCAGAAATAATCCACGAGACGGAACTTCACCCAGGACGAGTCACTGTGTGGTGCGCAGTTTCATCAAGGTGTATTGTCGAGACATACTTCTTTGAAGAAAACGGTGTAACAGTAACTTTCAATGGGCACCGATTTTTAAAGATGTTGAATGAGTATATTTTTTCCAGAACTGTACCGAAGACGTATCGTTTTCAATAGCGTTTGGTTTCAACAAGATAGAGCATCTGCACACATAGCCGGTTATTGCGGAGCTCCTAAGAAAATTTAAAAACTCCACCGCAGGCCCCCAAGGCCACCTGATATGACTGCACTAGACTTTTTTTATGGGGTTATGTCAAGCAAGAAGTGTACAAAACTAAACCCTGAAATCTGACTAAATTGAAGCAGTCCAATAAATCGATAATTGAGGCAAACCCGACTTTAACACTTCAGGCCACAATGAATAATTTTCTAATAAGTGTTGCATATGTGGCTGAGCATGGAGGTCATTTCCGGACCATAATTTTTAAAAATAAATATAATATTTATATAAAATATAATAAAATCGAATACAATTAAAAAAAGTTAAATGTATTGTAATGCATTGATTAAGAAAAAAGATATTACAGATTGTTTTCGCTTCACGCTTTCCAACTTTCTAGCTGCCTTTAAGCCGGTTAGGTCGTTCAATATATGTGACATTTAAATTTTTTCATAAACACAGTGTGCTTTAGCGCTGAATATGAAGTAAATCGGTCCAGACCGTGGTCTAAACCACTTACCCTTATAAAGGATGATCCACTTCGCGGTTCTCCCCTTTTTTTATAAAAAACAGAAAATTCAAATTTAATGAGGAGTGTTTATTATTATTCGAAAGAACATTCCTTGGCATTTATTTTTTGATCATTATCTCTTTCAAAAGTTGGACGGAGCTACGTCTCAGATGGTCTATCAGTTTATTCCAATGTTGATGACTCGTTCGAACATTTCGACTGGTAACTGGCGAATGACACTCGTGATGCTTTGCTCCAACGCCTAAATCGAAGCGGGATTGTCCGCATAGACTTTAGACTATACATATCCCCACAAGAAAAAGTCTAACGGTGGGATATCATACGATCCTGGTGGCCAATCGACCGACCCAAAACTTGACATTTCTGTTTACCGCCGTCTTGTTGAAACCAAGTTGCATTCATCAAATAGTCGGTTATCATGGCTCAACGGCATCATTTTTGAAGAAATATGAACCGATGATTCCACCGGCCCACAAACCATACCAAACCGTTGTTTTTCCTGGATAAAGTGGCAGCTCATGAATCTCTTCAGGTTGCTTTTGCTCAAAAACGTCGAATCTTCTTGGAACTTTTCGAGAGCCCATAGAGCGGAGCGACGTCGCTTAGTAAGGTCGAGCGGCTTCAGTTCTTGCACAAGCTGTATTTTGTACACTTTCAATTTAATATCTCGACATAAAATGCGCCAAGGCGTTCCAGACGTCAATCCGAGTTACTGCGGATGGCGTCGAATCGAATTTCCAAGGTCTTCGCGTACACTCTTAGCTACGGCCGTTATATTTTCTTAACTGCGTTCTGGACGTCGAATATTATTCAATAATGAATGCTGGGTCTCAAGATGGGTGATGGTGTTGCGAATAGTACGCTCAGAAGGCTGATTATGTTCACCATAAGTTGAGCGAAGCGCGCGAATTACATTCTTTATAGAACGTGAATTTTCGTCATAAAGTTGAACGATTTATAAACGTTGTTCAGCCGTAAGTCTTTCCATGATGGAAATACCCAATATATTAAATTTAGCCTCTCGGATATGAACCAAAATATAGTAATAAGCCTAAGTGAGTATACGACCTACCAACCAAGATACCAAATATGTTTGCAATCATTTTACCCTTTCGTCAAATAATGAATGATGAATTCTTTCGCAACATTTTTATACTCCTGCAACATTTTGCTACAGAGTATAATAGTTTTGTTCACCTAACGGTTAGCATCACCTAAAAATAATCGTTATATATACATACATACAAGTGACTGTCTGTCCATCTGTCCGTCCGTTCGTTTGTGCAAGCGATAACTTAAGTAAAAATTGAGATATCGTAATGAAACTTTTTACACGTTTTCCATGATAAACCAATAAATTACCATAACTAAGCTCCACAATAAAATACAAGTCTGTTATTTGGTATAACGAATCGATAGTACTATGTCAAAATGGATAGAATCGGGTCAATACTGCTCTAAGCCCCTAATACTCGTAGAAAGATTTTCGAACTTCCGGATGACTTTATACCACATATATCGGCCAAACTGTGAGTTATCATAATAAAATTAAGTGAGTGTGTTTTTATAGTATTGGTGCATCTGTGTGTCTAAATTGAATAAAATGGGATTAGAACTTGCCCTAGCCCTCATATTAGATAACTAATATTAGGATTTTCAAATATCCAGTTGACTTTACCCCTTACATATTGGTGAAGGTATGTGAAGTACCTGAATGAAAGCAGATATCATTTTTTCCGTTAGCAATATCTAGTGTAGTACAATACATAAAATGATATTTGTTATTTTTACAAACCTTATGCCAAATATGTCAGTCAGTTTTTGAGTTATTTATTTATAAAATTGCGTGAAAGTATGTTCTCGAGTATACCTTAACAATGTCAAAGGTTAATGCAACAAGCCCCTTATGCGATATTTGAATGAAAATAAGTGAACAAGTTTTTTAAAAAATTATAAATTATATTAATGATGAAGGATTTGGTGCAAACCTTGGAATAAATTTCATATCCCTAATGGTTAACGTTTATATCATATATATACAGTGGCAGGCAAAACCGTTCGGATGTGCGCCACTTTTGCATTCTAAGTGTTGTAAAATTTTTTACGACTGCTCAAATATTATCAAATTTTCAGGATAGGTAAAGTAAATGGCCTAAAATAACATTATTTAATATTTGGTCCAAAGACCTTTGTGTTTTATTACACAACGAATGATAAACGATCTCTTCCTCTGGATAAGCACACTTGTCTATAAAATTCGATAAATTTTACTGTAAAATATTCAGTCTTTAGTCTTTTTTTTTCATAATTCCAGCGATTTTGATCAACGGATCAATGTTCGCACCTCATATCATGAGACTGCCGCCACCATATTTTACAGTCTGTCACACATGATGTCGTTGAAGGTTTTTATGTGGGCGACGCCAGTAGTACTGTTTGCCACCCGATTGGAAACGATTGATTTTCGATTCATTCGACCAGATAACCTGATTCCAGTTTTCCACGGACCAGTTTTTATGTTCCTTACAAAACTGTAGGCTCGCCTGAATATTTTTATCAGATAAAACAGGTTTCTTCTGTTTAACGGCGGCCACAAAACCAATCCATTGAAGAGCTCTCCGAGCGTTCCATTCGCTAAAAGTCTTATTTATGGCGATTGCAACCTCCTTTGGTGTTCTTTTATCCGCTGTAGTGAGTCTTCTGACTATTTGCCTAGTATCAGCGTTTGTTAACAATCGTGGGCGTCCTCCCACGTTCGGGGAACCTAGTAGTTTGCATCGTTTTTTTATAGCCACAACACTGCTCAAAGCTAATTTTAACTAATTAGCAATTTTACGGATCGAAAGGGCTATCCTTTCACTTTAGTTATTGAAATTATATTAGTACTAGAATTTTGTTGTACATTAAACAAAGAACTAACCTTTTAAATTTGGTAAGGTTTGAGCTAACAGTTAAAATGTTAGAGCACTGAAAGTGCAGAAGTGGCGAACATCCGAACGGTTTTGCTCGCCACTGTATATCTCATTTGAAGATGATTTTAATGTAGTTTTAGCTGACGCGAAGGAAAATATAACAATTAAGCTAAGTGAGTCTATCATCTATAATATACCTAATAAAATATCAAATTTGATTGTAATCTATTCAGGATTTCGTCGAATAGTAAATGTTGAATTCTTTCGCAATATTTTTTAATATAGAGTTTTGCCAACCCTGAAGCTATATAGACGTCTTTGATCCTTGCAAGTAGCAGGAGTATAAATGTTGTTAATCAGTTCAGTGTTTGCTTTCGCTTGCAGTGAAGTGCAGAGCTAAAAAAAGTAAGTGTGGTAAACAGCGCAAGTAAAATTTATGAGCTTCTCAAAAAGCATAATTTTTCGAGCATTTTTGTATACCGCACTATTGGTCGTTGTTCCCAAACGTCTACAGTTGAGGACAGAAAGAGAAATAGTCGGTTTAGCGTTTTTTTAACCAATTCAGGCATAAAAAGAAAAAAAAACGAAAAAATAATATATCGACCGGTACGCAGTCAACGGCCATGAAAGTATTTTTTAATAAGCAAAGCGATAAAATTCACCCGAAATTTTCCAAAGACGCAAAAACTGTTATTCTAGTATTGGATCTTACAGTGTCTTAAAAGCAATATTCCTGGTTTCATAGCTACAGATGATTGGCCGTCTAGAAGTTATTGGTAGGGAGTTATTTGGTATGGAAAATACTTGTACCAAAGAATCATTTAAAATAATTATTAACTTAATTCTTATACACACATAATTCACAATACGAGTTATAGTATTTTTACTTACGAATTTCATTATGTCCTCTAGTGGTTCGTATATAATGAAGTCAGCTACGAATTTCGCGCATTCAATTTCACTGCCAATCAAGGGAATGTGTGAAAATGCCGTTGGTCGTATTGTGGTGCAAACAAATTTCTGCAATTCCTTTTTATATAAGTGTTCATTTACTCGTCGAAAACCACCCAAATATTACCTGAATATTGCATTCATTTGGCAAAGCCAGTACTAATGGTCTTCTCTCTGGATAAAGTGTTCCGAATTGTTTGCGAAAATTATCTGCATACAGTAGTAAAATACGTTCCTTAGGCGACAAGGTATAATAACTTGGTGGGTAGCATTGCGGAGAATTTGCAAAATCATTGGCAGTCTCGGTGAATGATAGGTCTATGTGTCCTGCTACAACAGGTGATTCAATTTCAGAATATTGTTCCTTTACTGCATCTTCTTCTTCGCACATTTCTTCGTCATCGAGTAAAGCTTCATCTAAGACTTCCTGTTGAGCGGCCAGAACATCAGCTATGTGCCTCTCCTCGATTTCCTTTAACTTTGCATCATGCTTTTTTGGGTCAATGCGAACAGTATCGTCTTTCTTCTTTGCCCCTTGTCTATTTCCTTTTGGAGGCATGGTGATGTATACAAAATATAAACAAGATACGTTAGCAACAAATAAAAGTAACTTCAAATGCTTATTAATTTTTTTATTTTTGTCAATATGAGTTAAAATTCTTTCGGCGAATTTATGATTTCTATGAACATTGTGTTCAAGCTATATTTGGCGCATTTGCTTTAATTTTGTTTATTTTCGTTGTTTTGAATTGTGAATATAAAAATTCTATTAATTAATTTTCAAGTGTTGACATAAAGTGATTGTGAAAAACAAAATTTTGATATTTTCTTGATAGTTTTTCGTTTCTTTACTTCTTCTTTATTACTTGTTAATAAATTTCATAAATTCAAAAATTTTGAGTATGCAGATCTTCGAGTAATTATGAGATTTTAAAATAATCTATGCACTTTTTACCGATAGGCTACCAGTAATTAATGCATTTTTTTATCGATAGGTTACTTTTGTTCTAGCCTCGAGAGAAAATAACTATTTCTTCTATTTTACCACACGTCGGTGTGATTAACTTACTCGTTCTCTCTCATTTTATATAGATTTTGCTGTTTTAATTTGCCAACTATTTAAAATTTTAGTTACTCTTTGGTAACAGGATTGGCTATTTGTTTGGCTAGCCATCTGTTACTGTAAATAATTTGTTTGGCCATTGTCATGATTACCAACAGGTTAGAGAAAACTTGTGCATCGGTTATTTGTTTGGTTAGCCATTAGATACAGGGGTATAAATTTTTAAATGAAATTTCGTAGACGTTTTCCTTGGCACCTAAGGGGAATTGTATTGTAGATAGTTCCATAACTAAGCACTAAATAAAGATATAAAATTGTAATTTGATGCTGAGGATCACAGTAGCAAGGGACACTTGTGGGCTAAAATGTTTTTCATACACTGTGAAAATTAGGAAAACCAGATAATAAATCCCGTACTCCCCATATAACGGTTATGATGAATACTACAAAAAGTGCGTTAACTCACTGAATAAATGAGCCACAAGCATTTACTTTCACAACCAAGATGGCAGAAAAGGGCTTACAAGAGCAGATAACAAACGTCTAAATTAAATCTGATCCTTTCACTTTACAGTATACAAATCAAACATCAATGAAGTTATCAGAATAAAATTTTGCACAAATAGTGCCCTTAACCCTACGTATACCTCGTGACTAATCTTACTATGCTGTACTTGGTGGGGTTTTTTATACCCTGTTAATGACTGTTAAATGATAATTGAAGTACAAAAAAAATTTTACATTGGAATAGATTTTTAACAATAAAATTACAAAAGTTTAACGTTAAATTGTAACGTTTTTTTTACCGCTGAGGTTTGTTATACCCAACCTCGTATACGGAGGGTTAAAGTGTTTTATCTTACGCCCAACATTGTCCAAATCGGACTATAACTTTTCATGGACCAAGACAACAGTTATATGGGCCACAGTTGATTTTTTACCGAACATTTTGGTCAATTTATGAAGTCTAGTATTAAAATTCTAGGAGAATATTTTTGTGATGACAGCAATCCTTGTTTATTATAAAGTATTGCAACACCTGAATGTATTTCTCCGGCTTTAATCTCTTCAAATTATGAGAGTATAAAATGTTAGGTTACACCCGAACTTAGCCCTTTTTATTTAATTTATTTAGAAACTTGCATGTGTATACACTATTATTCTTTTTTTTTTAAATAATTATTATTATTGTTTTAGATTTGTTTTTAAATATAATATTAGTGTTTATATAATACCATATGCATACATTACATTTTCCAGCTTGCAAATTTGCCGAAATCTAAAATCCGAAATTTTCATATATCTAAACTAAATAATAAAAAAGTAAAAATCATTTTTTTTCTATTTGTCAACGTATCTATTTACCATATTAGCCTTAGTTATGATAAAATTAGTTATCTAATATATAAAATTCTCTTGTCACGGTGTTTGTTGCCAAACTCTTCCTAAACGGTTTTGATAAAATTTGGTAAGCTTATCGGGTAGGTCTGAGAATCGGCCAATATCTATTTTTCATACCTTTCAATGTAAAGGGTGGTCAAGCCCATATATACAATTCTAAATTTTCTCCCTTAAGCGATCAATCATTGATTTTTAGATTATTCTGCTCCATCCACAGATCCACAATGGATGGCAATCGAATATAATAATTGTAGAATACTATTGTATAATTTTCATGCTTAGTTCTATCAACCAATCAGTTATCCCTGCCAAATTCCTGCCGTTGTCACTTCTCGACCACCAAACATCACGGAATAGGGATGAAAGTCAAGCCGGCTTCCTTTTTCTCACTTTCTATACAGTTTTCGGACATTTTTGTGGTTTTATTTGTGTCTTGATCGTCGCAGTGACTGTTATACGTATCATTTCAATTTTTCAGTGCAACTCTTAAGTTAACTTTATTCTCAAGTATGTACATATCTCGAAAACGGCTAACGCGTATTGTACAAAAATTGCATTAATGTCTCCAAATGAAAAAGGAGTTACACCAGTGTCCCGAAATAGGCCGCTTCTTTATTGGATTCCTTCTTAAATATACATTTGGTTAACTGGATATAGCAGCACGGCATACGATACATATGTACATAAATATATGGATAGTTTCAATGTTTCAATTTTACATTTACATTCCCTACGCTAGAGTGGAATTACTAGTCTACCAATGCAATGCTAAAAGGAGGACACAATTATGCTGATCAGTCAACATTCAGTAATCAGCTGACTGGCATTGTTTGTGTCTTTGCTAATTATAACTACATTCTAATGCACGAAAATTTTGAACATTCTGCCCGGCTGAACCCTCGCAATTTAGTAATTCTTCTGCAGGACCTGTTAGGCGGCATAATTTTTCACCGGCCGCTGACACCGCTGTTTAATAGGAATTCCATCTGATTTCTGGTTTTGTACTCTATCATCACGGTACGTACCAGGTCATCACTGCCCGGGTGAACGTCAATCACCCGTCCCATGCGCCAAATCGATGGTGATAGATTTCTACCACGGATAAGGACTACGTCACCACGCTGGACATTAGGTTCCGCTCTGGTCCATTTATTCCGAGTCTAAAGAGTATGTAGGTATTCGAATCGGCAGCGACGCCAAAAGCGCTCCAGCATTTTCCATTTGCCAATGTCGAAGACTATTTTTTGGAGTCCGGTAATGGGACCTCTGGGTGACAATTAAGCGGAGATCCGATCAGAAAATCCCCCGGTGTTAAAGCTATCCCACCTTCAGAATAATTGTAGAGAGCTACGTCTCACTGCCCTTGACCCTCAGCAGATGCTCTTTAGACGAACGAACTGACGCCTCCCATAGACACCAAGATGAGGTGCGGAAGGGGTTATGAACTTCTAACATGTACCTTCAGCTGCCCAATCCCTTAAATGTTCTTGCATTTGGCGATTCGCGCCTATGAATTGTGTTCCTTTATCACTGTATAAAGTGATGCATATACCTATATATACCTTCTGCTCAAATATAAACGAGACTGGCTCAAACAACAAAAACGGTTAATTATTCTTCAATATTTATTTTATCCCTTTCAAAATAGTCACCATTAGAGGCGATACACATATGTCACCTTTTCTTCCAATCTTCCTAACACTTCTGGTAGGCCGATTTAGGTATGGCTTTCAGTTCCTTCTTCGAATTCTCTTTTATGACTTCAATCGACTGAAAATGCTTTCCACGAAGCGGCAATTTGAGTTTAGGGTTATATTCAGTACCTAGGGGCTTGAAAAGTTTTGATTAGATTTAGACAATTTTTGGTCACAAAGTGGCATACTTTAATCGTATTATTCACGCAGAGTTTTACGCTGATATGATTGTTGCTTGATATGCATACTGGAAAGTGAAAACATCAGATGGAATTTAAAATGCTCTTATATGTGAAATAGGCGTGGTTGTAATCCGATTTCGCCCATTTTCGTACTATATTATAGAAATATGAGAAGAATATAATGTACCGAATTTGGTTGAAATTGCTTAAGCAGATCCCAAGATATGGGATTTCACCTAAAAGTGGGCGGTGCCACGCCCACTGACTAATTTTGAACGTGGTTCGTATAAAGTCATCTCATACCATCCCAGAGATAAGAATTTAATGTCTCTGGCTAGTTTAGTGCTTGATTTATCGCGCTCTTAGTAGTTTTTAACAGGACCGTTATATGGGGAGTGGGCGCGGTTGTCACCCGATTTCACCCATTTTCATACCGTCGATAGAAATGGTAAAAACATTGTTCCCAATGAATTTTTTTTTTGTATGGCTTCAGTAATATAATTCAGAGTGGGCGGGGTTGTCACCCGATTTCACCCATTTTCATACCGTCGATAGAGATGGTAAAAACATTGTTCCCAATGAATTTGTTTTTTATGGCTTCAGTAATATAGGAGATATGCACATTAAACCTATTAGGGGGCGGGACCACGCCCACTTAAAAAGAAATTTAAACTGCAGATGCCCCTCCCTAATGTGATCCTGTATACCAAATAAGAGTCTTGTATCTTGTTGTGGGGCGTTTTGTGGGTGTGGCAGTGGTCCGATTACGCCCATCTACTACACCAACCGTCCTACGGTATCGAGAAACATGTGTACCAAATGTCATAAAGATATCTCAATTTTTACTCAAGTTACAGCTTGCACAGACGGACAGACGGACAGACAGTCACCCGGATTTCAACTCGTCTCTTCATCCTGATCATTTATATATAATGTATATAACCCTATATCTAACTCGATTAGTCTTAGGTGATACAAACAACCGTTAGGTGAACAAAACTACTGTACTCTGTGGCAACAGGTTGCGAGTATAAAAAGTAAGGAAGGGCTAAGTTCGGATGCAACCGATATATAATAACAAATTATACATATAATTTAAATTTTCTTAATTAGATTATTTACATATTTTTCTTAAAATTGTCTTAAAAACTACTGTCAAAATTGCTATACCATTTCTTAATATATATATGAAAAAAAAATGAAGAACTATTGCAATAAGTCTGAAAACTTTAGTTGGAAATAGAGACACAAATACTGTCATGATAGTTGTGTAATGTCTCAAAAGTAATTGCATTAACATGAGAAGGATCCATGTTTGAAAATGCCCAATCCATTTGTGTACCGGCAGGTGTAGTTGAATATTCTACACCAAGCAGGGAATTAAAGTTTTTTTCTTGGAGCAGATTTCCTATTGAATTCCCTGTAGACATTAAACATATGTTGAAATCTCCAACAATTTGCATATATTGATTGCATAACTCAGAAGTAAGGACTTCCTGAATTTCTACAATTAAATGTCTGACAGAGAAAGC